GGCACACCACGTGCTACTTCTGCTGGCGCGGCTCTAGAACGTGGAGAGCCAACGAAGAGCCACGGGAACGGTTTCGCGGTCCACAGGTGCGCTCAGCGGTTCCCTGGGGAGTCTGAAAACCCACGTCTCAGAGCCCTGCGGAGCCAGCGGGTGCAGAGAGACACTGACGGACCAGTCGGGCCACACGGAGAGAGCTGCTGAGAATCATGTGGTAAGCCTCAGCCACAGAGGCAGAAACACAACTGACCCCACGGCAGACTGCACAGAGCCCGCGCTGACAGCCGGCAAGGAGCACAGCCTCACCCCTCCTGGGTGACTGCCAGTGAAGATGTTAACAAGAAAAAAAACCCAAACACTTTCTCTCCACCACGTTTCCAGTTTGAGTCTCAAAATAGTTTCAGAATTTCTAAGGCTAGGTTTCCATTCTGACAAGTGGAATTTTAGTAGTTTGTGCAAAATACGCATTGTAAAGCGTGTTCAGGGGACCATGGCTTAGCAGTAGATCCCTGCCCTCCGTGAAGGAGACCTGGGTTCGACTCCCGGCCAGTGCACGTCAGGCACGGCCACCACGCGTCCGCCCAGAGGCTGGGTATTGCTAGGACGCTGAAAGGGTTTCAGTGGAGCTTCCAAAAGAGGGACTAAAAGAAAGGCCCGGCCATCTACGTCTGAAAACCAGCCAGTGAGGACCCTGAGATGACAGGGGTCCCACGCGCAACAAATCACGGGGCTGGTGCAAGACCAGGCAGCGTTTCATCCCACTGCGCATGGGGGCCCACGAAGTCAGGGACCGACTTGACGGCAGCTGACAAGTGTTGCTAGCTCTAAGTGGCAACATCTCCCTTCTCCCTCTGGGACCTCAGTCACACAGCCCCGGCCTCCAGCCACCAGCCACCAGCCACCAGCCACTCCCAGTACGAGACTGAGGGGGCCACCACGTGGGGAGCTGAGGACCCACTTCCTGACGGCCAGCTTCTTCATCCACAGAAAGGGGCTGGTGGCACTGGCTCTGATTACTGTCAGAGGGTTTTGTGAAAATTATGATGTACAAGTACTTTATAAACTGGGCAGCAATGCACACTTGTCAGGTAAGGTAAATACGGCCAAGTCTCAACCCTGGGGCTCTTTGCCCCTCTGGGCTCCACCTGGAGAGCAGGGGGCACGTGCTACACCAACGTGTGAGCAATGCGGCCACTCGGGGAGAAGTCCCCATCTGGGCTATCCTGGGGCCGGCACAGCCTTGTTCATCCTTCCACACTCCAGAGCAAGGGGGACTGGGGAGTGCTCCTGCAGGACCCAGGGCTGGGGTCCTATAAGTTACCCCAAGCCAAGGACATGTGACCACTCTGATCCCCAAGGCAGGGAGGCAAGCTGACGCACTGGAGCGGCCTTCTCAGAAACAAGGATGAAGCATTTTACAAACATTCCCTTCCTCCCTGGAGATGGGGTTGTCTAACTTACTGCAGCTGGTGAGCAGCCTTCTAAGGTACAACTACTGGTCTCTCCCCTCTGGAGGCAAAGAAGAGTGGAGAACAGCAAAGGCGCGTGGAATAAAGATGGCAAAGGACTAGTGGACCCCGCGAACCTCAGCTCCTCGATCCCGAGACCAGAAGAACATGACGGGGCCCGGCTACCACTACCAACCACTCTGAAAGGGATCACAATAGGAGGTCCTGGACAGAGAGAGAGAGAAACGTGGAACAAAACTCAAAAGCATAAAAAAGGCCAGGCTTGCTGGTCTAATGAGAGACTGACGGAAGCCCTGAGATTGGGGCCCTCAGTCACCCTTGAAACCCAGAACTGAACTTACCCCTGGGGCTCAACTTTCAGGCAACAGCAGTAAGGTGACCAGTAACACCAGGGAGGAACGCTCTCCTTAGAACAATCAACCACATCAGGTCCAAAGGGCAGCACTCGCCCAGGGATAACACCCAGAGGCAGGAAGGGGGAGGAAAGAAGGGTGAAGGGAAACGGTAACCACAGGGAAAGTGGGGGGAGAGCTGTTACATTGGGGGGTCCAACGGATGCACGAAACATGCACAAATTGTTGAATGGGAAACCAATTTGCTCTATAAACTTTTACCCAAATCACAACAGAAAGGTTAAAATAAAAATCTGACTTCATGTGCCTGACCTACGCGGGGCACACAGCCAGTGTGGATGCAAAATGTGGGGAGATACCGATCAAGTGGGTCTCATGCTGCCCCCCAGTGCACTGGGTACCCCCACCTTTGTGCAATCTCGGCTCTGTTCGGCTGCCCCCTTCGTGGCACGCGTGGAGGGGAAGGGACACACAACGAACTCTCTTGAGGGTGGGATTAGCCCGATTCCTTTTCCGAATCCTCCTTCACAATTTAGCCCCAAATAACGACTTGACCGGGTTATATGTGCACTGTATCTCTTTGTCATGAGGAATTTCTAATTTCTAACACATACAAAAGTAAACAGATGAGGACATGAACCACTGTTAGGAACTGAACTGGGTCCCCTAAACAGGTGCTGAGTCCTGATCCCCCCTGGATGGGACCCTGTTTGGGAGCAGGGCTTTCTCTGTTATGTGAAGGAGGCCCTGTCAGTGCAGGGTGTGGCCTAAAGGGCTGGGTTATAAAGAGCCAATGAGCTGTGATGATGTGAGCCTGAGCCTACTGGGGAAGACAGCTGCCCCAAGGGTCCGTCCCTCTCAGACGAGGGGCCACCTGAGGACCTTGATTTGGACTTTTAGTCTCAGCTGTGAGGGATTTCTCTAAAGCTGCCCACTGTGGGATCTGTGTCACAGCATGCTAGGTGACTCAGATGACTCCTACTCCCCAGCTGCAGCAATGCCCACCCTGGTCCCTGGTCCCTTCACATGGGAAGCTCCCTGCACGCTGACGGAGAGGTTGGTGGTTCAAGTCCGCCCAGAGGCACCTTGGAGGGTTTTCAAGGGCTGCGTGAACCTCCAGCATGTGGCCCGCCATCACCAGTATCCTCACTCTTACACAGTTGGTTTGACAGGCTGTTTCCAGTTATTCCTTGCTACGTGCTGGGCTTTGGAGTCCAGTCAGTACCAGCTGCACCCACCTCTTCTTGGGGAGCTTAATGCTTGCGATGTAGCTCAGGCAGTAGTTGATGACGTCCTGGATCAGGGCCTCACCCAGGTGGCCTTGAATGCTCTAGATGAAGAAAACACTGCGGTTACTGACGCAGCAGCGGGCACTTCCAGAACTGCTTTCCAGCAGAGCCTGAGAGGAGCCGCGGTCACGAGGCTGGCGGAGCAGGCAGACACCGTTTTCTGTCCTCTTTCCCTTTTTCTCTGGCTGAAAACACAGAGCAAACTGGAAAGGCTTCAGTCAAAAGCATTTTCTGCTTCATTACTCTCTGGGCTTTTGTAACCATGACCTTTCAAATGCTTCACTGAAACCCCGTGGGTTTATCTCTACTGCTTTGATTCAATTAAAACATCTACAGATGTTAAAAGAAAACGTATTCACTCCACTTCGGCTTCCTCTTACATCTGGATAGAATGGTTTAACTTATTACTAATAAAAGCTACACAACTCAAGCCAAAGGAAAAACCCACTGCCGCCAATTCCGACCCCAGCGACCCTATTGGTATCGCTATGTAGCATCTGCTACAAACGCTTCCGGCAGGTGATGGCAGAGGCTGGAAAAGGACAGCGATGGTCGTACAACGTGATGAACATAACGCACTGGATTGTACACGAAAATCACGTCGGGGTGGCAAATGTTTTCTTATACGTATTTTCACAACTGAAAAAAACAAATGCTTACAGCAAGACAGCCTATCCTATCCCATTCTATCATAAATAGAGATCTTAAATACAAAGTATAAAAATCTATCTATCATCTTGTGAAAATCAAGGACAGATTTATATATGGAAGGAAAATTCTTTGTTGGTTAGCAGGGATGGGAGGAGACAGAAAATTGCTAGATAGGTTGAAAAAAGAAAACAAAAAACCACCACCACCAGCTACCAATTTGGAATAGGTGACAGCCCCATGATTCACAATTCGGTGTGTAAGAGACAATAGTGTGAGTGTTTCATTCAACCCTGTTCCTTAGCTCCCCAGAGGCAGTCCACATTAAATATCGCTTAAGAAAAGATTTAGGAAACAGTACTTTGGACCCTCGACAACCTACCTGTTTACACAAGAGTTTCCCATCTTTGTATGCTACCAAGCCATTCTCTGGAAACACATAATCATATTTCTCAACCACTACAACCAAAACAAAAGGAGACTTTAGGATACGATCATCGAAACCCACGGTTCTGCTTCTTGGAGGACACACCATCAACAAGACTGCTCACGTCAAGTAAGGGCTGTGAAAGAGGATCTTACAGGGAGACCGTGGAAAACAGGCACCTTTGATGACAATGGAAAGGAAGATTCGGGAGGCAACGGAGCCTCAGTGATGGGTTATTTGCTGTCTCTGCCTTCAGCCAAGGGGCTCTGGTGGCACAGTGGTTAAAGCAGTCAGCTGCTAACCAAAAGGATGGCAGCTGGAACCCACCAGCCGCTCTGTGGGAGAAAGACTTACAGCCTTGGAAAGAAACCCTGTGGGGCAGTTCCATACCGTCCTAAAGGCTGTTGTGAGCTGAAACCACCTCTATGGCAGTGGGTTTGGGTTTTGGTTTTTGCCTTCAGCCTCCCTGCCTATAAACGCAGATGCTGGTGGCGAGGGCTGCCAGGCCTGGCTGGGAATCGGCATCCGTCAGGGTGTGGGCCTGGTCCAGCTCTGCCCTCAGGGACTCCAAATCAGAATCTCCAGGGGCCCTGCTGACAATCAGCGGCTGTTTGAAAGCTCTAGAAGGTTCTCTTATCAGGCAGATTGGGACACCAGCCACAGAAACTCTTTAACGAGGGATTCCCAAACTTCAGGTACTTGGAGAAATGCAGGTTCCCGGGCCCTGGGTCCCTAGACTGCAGCCCTGGGTGCTGGATGGGGCTGCCTGGCAGAGGGTGGTGTAGGTGGGGACTCACCCTCCTTCTAGCCGGAAAGCTCTCGGTGCTACTGCTGCGCTCTCTAGGCTGCGTACACGGCCCTACTGCAACACTTCTCTGAGCAGGGAGCTGACCCCACCACTGCCAGGCAGTCCGGCCTGGCTCTGGGACTTCCAAGGCAGAATGTGGTCCACTCCATCTCCAGGCAGAGCACCCAAAGGAAACTGAGGACATGTCACCGTCTCAGCCACTATGATCAGAGCGTATGCGGACGTGGATGCTAAAATCGTACACCTGGAACAGCAGTTCCCAGTTGGTGGCAGCTCTGTCAGCTGGGGGACATGTGCCAAGATCCTCAGATGTTCCTGGAGGGGCAGAAGGATGCTGGCATCTTGTGGGTAGAGGCCAGGGATGCGGCTGGACCTTTTCCAGTGCACAGAGCAGCCTCCACGACCGAGAGCTAACCGGTCCAGATGTCCAGTGCTGAGGCTGAGAAACCCTAGGATCACGGGAGTTCAAGGAAGGGCCGACCCATCATTTCTCCACTCCTGCTTCTTACAGGCCAGGCCCCTGGATGCAGTGGGGCTACAGAGCTGAATAAGCCACAGGCCTGGGTAAGATGTCCGTATAACCAGAGTTGCCAATAAACGTTGAGGCGACAAGAGCAGAGTGCACACCAGATCACAGGGGGCACCTGCCAAGATACAGACGTCCAGGACCTGAAGACCCAAACCCAAACCCACTGCCACGGAGTCAATTTGACTCAGAGCGACCTTGCAGGACCGACTGCAACTGTCCCATAGGGCTTCCCAGGCTGTAATCTCTGTGGAAGCAGGTGGCCTCATCTTTATTCTGCAGAACACCTAGTGGATTTGAACTGCCCTTTTGGTTAACAGCTGAATGCTTTAACCTTAGTGCCATTACAGCTCCTTTCTGAAGACCAGCAGAGTCTATCTCCAGCCAAGAGGCCAGTAAGAACCTATAGCTCCTGGGGTCCTGCACTGGGCACTGGGGTTCAGTAAGCAGGGGAGGAGTGGGGTGGCTCACAATTAGGGAGCTCCTAGAACACTGTGTTATGGCAACATTGGAGGAGGCACCTCAGTGCCCGGGCGGGCAGGCAGGCTGGTCAGGAGACAGGCCGAGCCGAGGCGGGAAGGGCAGAAAGACCGCCACGTGCACAGACAGACACTCGCCTCTCCAGGTGACCCTGTGTACTTGCTCCTTCAGCCTCTCCAGACATTTACTCATCAGACTCAAAGCAGAGGGGAAATAAAGGCAGAGAAAACAGTTCCCCCAAGAAGGAAGCAGGAAGTCTGCCTGTGGGGTGTGGGCTCGGGGCTGCCTATGACACTTAGCAACTCCTGAGAAGTTAATCTTCCACGAAAGTGTAATCAGCTGTGGAGAGCTTACCATCCCGGCCCAGCTGCTCCTGCACTTTTCCGAAGTCTGACCCGCCTACCACTCCAACTCTGATCTTCTGCCTCAGTGCCAGCAGAAAGTCCTCCATGTCCTTGGTAATTTTCTACATTTTAAGAAAGAAAACACAAGGTCAGGTTGCCAGGGCTAATGCAACCCTTCTCTTTCAGATCCGACGTTTGAGCTCTCAATGTGTTAGTTCTAACTCTGGGACGGAGTCCCTGGGGGTAGAAATGATTAAGTGCTCGACTACGAGCCGGGAGGTTGGCAGTTGGAGTCCACCCAGAGGTACCTGGGAAGCGAGACCTGGCAAACTGCTCCTGAGAGACCCAAAGCAGTTCTCCTCGGCACATGGGACTGTCGGGAGGCAGCGTCAGCTCCACGGTAACGACCACCACCTTCAGGACCGTAAATCTTTACCAGACTAAACTTGCTAGCAAACTTGAAACACACGAGTTACACGTTAACAGCTGCTGCATCGTTTCGGCGATCTTTCCATGCATTTACACCCCTGTCCACAGGCACGTATGCAAATATGTATATATTTTCATTTTTTAAGACATCAGCATTATTCTAGTATACTCCCCCAAAATGTAAAAGGACAACTGGAGCTTTTAGTCTCTCATAAAAGCAGCTTTCATCTCTGAGATATGATTTCAAGGTTACTCGCATCCTGGTTAAGTTCAGAGTGTGCCAGTTCCAAAGAGATTAGGAACTGAGATGAACAGACATACCCAGGAAGACAGAAGGGCTTCCAGAAAACCTCAAGTCCTTTACTGTCAGTGATCTGCACTGTGTACGTGCGTGGAACAGCCTTACAGGTAAAGCTACCAGAAATTAAGACCTCAAACACTCCACCCCATCTCAGAACACAACCATCTGAAGTCCAAGCTTTTCTTTGCCTTTTTTGTCAGTGTGATACAGGCACACGAGTGAGAAGATGCTTAGGACGGTGGTTTCCCTACACTTCCCTCACGGGGCACTCCGACCCAGCAGGCGACTTTGAGGGCTGCACTGTGGCTCTGCGCCCGTCAAGGTGATGTTGACCCGGAGCACCCCACGTGCCAGAGCGGAAGTGGCCCAGAGACTCTGCTCGGCTCTCACTGCTCCAGGAGCAGGCTGCCTGGGCTTTCTGCCGTGGAGCCCCTGAAGGGGTTCAAACAGCCACCCTCGCAGTCAGCAGCCAGGCACGTAACGGCTGCACCATCAGTCTCCATGAGTCAGGGAGGATCAGGCAGGTAAGTTCCAGAGTTTCCCAAGTGGCTTACTCAGACCTGACGTAAGAACGGGAGGAAGTGGGAGACTGTTTCGATTGCAAAATATTACAAATGCGCTATCACCCCCCAAAAAAACCTGATGAAACCTAATACTTCCGTCTTTACACAGAAAGAAGCCTAAGGGTACGATCTGTGATACTGTCACCCTTGCACCCACTGACGAGCATCATGGTATTGTGGTCAGCCACCATGACATGGTCTTAGACGTAACAGGGTTGTTAAAGGCACCTTTTCTGTTCCAAAATCAGAAAACCAACCCATGCTCTTGATTCCAACTCACAGTGCCCCTATAGGGCAGAGTGGAAGGCTGTCAGTCTCTAGGGAAGCAGACGGCCCTGTCTCCTGTGGAGTGGCTGGTGGATTTGAACTGCTGGACTTTCAGATAGCAGCTGAGTACGTGACCAACGCATCACCTGGGATCCTTAGCAAATGTTCTGACAGGAAATAAGACCCAGCTGCTGTGACCACAGCAGAGCATCTAAATGACCCCAGGAGAACTTTCAGGGAAAACTTTCAGGTAACTTTCCCTGTTACCTAGGGAAACAGTGCTGATGTTGCCAGGCAATCCCTGTGCGGAGGATCTCAAAGAATCCTCTAGAACCTCTTAGCCAAAACCAAACACAGAAAACACCCAGAAGCTTGAAATCGAGGTAGAATACAGTAAAAAATTGACCTTCCAAAAGAACCCAATTATAAAGAACTTCTGGGGGATACATGAGGAACCCTTGTGGTGCAGCGGTTAAGCACTTGAGTGCTAACTGAAAGGTCGGTGGTTTGAACCCACCGGCACTCAATGGGAGAAAGATGTGGCAGTCTGGTTCTGTGAAGACTACAGCCTAGGAAACCCTATGGGGTAGTTCTACCCTGGGCTATAGGGTTGCTATGAGTCAGAATTAACTTGAGGGCAAGGGGCTTAATGTTTTTCTTTTTTTTTTTGTCAGGGGTGGAGTGGGAGGGATACAGGCATACCTCAGAGATACTATGGGTTGGGTCCCAGACCGTTGTAATAAAGCGAGTTATCACGATAAAGCAAGCCATACGGATTTTTTGATTTCCTGGGCATATGAAAGTTATGTCCACACTATACTGTACTCTTGTGCAATAGCACGATGAAAAAGTTTAAAACCGTGAGAATGACCAAAATGTGACAGAGACACACGCTGTTGGAAAAATGGCGCCGAGTGACTTGGCAGATTCCAGGTTGCCACAAAAGTTCAATCAATAAAAACCGCAGTATCCGTGAAGTGCCATAAAGTGAAATGGAATAAAACAAGGTGTGCTTGTAATTGAGGAAATGTGACCTGTGACTAGAGGCAGGCATCTAAAAACAGGGCCAGCAGGCCTGCTTCTGTCAGTAAGCATTGCTGGAATATAGTCAGCCCTGGAATGATGGGTTGTGACCGAGATCACACGGTCTGTAGTCTCAAATATTCACTTTCTGGCCATTTACAGAAAAGCAGCTTGCCAAACCCTGGGCGAGGTGCTGAGTAACATTCGGGGCTGGTGATGGCTTTCTGACGTGTGATGATACCGTGGTTACGAAGGGAGATGTCCTTGTTCTCGAGAGGCATGCTAGAGGATTGACAGGTGAAGCCCTACGATGACAGCAGCTTAGGAAGCGGCTCAGCCAGACAGGAGACAAGGTTAATGTAAGGCCACGGTAAGGAGAAGAGGACGCACAAAAGTGAGGTTAAAGAGAAGTTTTTATTCTGCGCTTCCGGGCGAGGTTTACGGGTCCCCGAGAGGGGCCCGGGTGAGGTTCACGGGTCCCTGAGAGGGGCCCAAGAAGTCGCGCCACCTGGCTGGGGAGGGTAGGGTTTATAGTCTTGTAGAGGACTTAAGTGGGGACACTAAGGAAATGGCGGGGTCCAATTAGCTGTTGGCATGGGTCTGCATCTAATTAGCAGGAGGGGGCTTCACAGGAGGAAGTTTATCATCACGTGGGACTTTCCCACCTGGGCAGGTTCTGTCACTTTGGTTGTCTTATCAGGCTGTCTCACCTGGAGGAAGCTGCCAACTGACATATCGGGGGCTTGGGTTTACTTCCGCCTAACAGTTAATATAACAAAACACCAACCGTCGGGGAATCAACGTGGTAGAGAGATGGCCGTTGTGTACCGCTCTTTCAAGGATTACGTAATTTGAAATTTTTCCTACTGGAAAGTTGGAAAAACAATTCACCCAGGTTTATGTCTCCCTTCTTCTTGCCAGGTGATCGGTATAAGCACCACCTGTCTTTACACACGGAATGGCACTTCTCAGGGAAGCACTCAGGCCCCCAAAATTCTACTAAAGTAGTGACACGTGCAAAGCCCTGGGGTCCACTCAAGTTAGTCATCCCTTATTTTAGCAACTGCAAATGAAGTTCTTCTGTTTCTGTTTTATGGTTTTATCAGTGTTTGTAAATGCATATCATGAGGAAGAAAAAGGTTATATATATAATGACTAAATGAATAGCTCTTTTGCAAAACCATTTGTGTTTTTTACCTAGAGCACCCAACCCAGAAACAATTCTACTTTATATTAGAGATTTTATTTTAGTTTTTATGTTCACTACAAAGTATATCAAGTTTCAAACGTTTGAGGGAATACATTTTAGGTCATCTGGTTTCTTTGCTATTTTGTACTTTAAGCTTCAAAAAAAGAAAAAAAAAAACCCGAAACTCTCTGCCATCGAGTTGATTCCGACTCATAGTGACCCCCCTTGGGTTTCTGAGGCAGTACATTTGTACAGAAGTAGACCGCCAGTCTTCCTTCTGCAGAGTGGCTGGTGGGTTTGAACCGCCAACCTTTTGGTTGGCAGTCAAATGCCTTAGGGACCACTTTAGGCTTAGTTGTCCTAATATTTTCTGGAAATCCAAAGCACTTTCCAGAACGGCGTATCTAGAAACCGAAACGGCTCCTGCCCGAGCACAGTGGCAGGAAACGGCAAAAGTGGCCCTGACCAGGTTTGCTTCACCTGGTCTCTGTTTCCTTATGTGAAAAACGGGAGTAACAATACCCTTCCTGGGGTGGAAGAGGGAGGAAGGAAGGGTCCGGTGATCTAGTGTACATCTTGGGGATGTAAACTCTAGGCCAGGGGTCCACCAACTACAGTCCACCTGCCCAACTAGGCAGGGGCTTCTGCAGAACTGAGCGGCAGTTCCTACAGGTCACAGGGTCTGCCCTTTACAAAAGCAGGAGCTATCGATCCCAAACGACTACGGGCTTTACAACCTACAAGCGGGTGATCGCTGGATCTCAGAGCCGGAGAGGGCCCTTGGAAACTTGCTTCTCACTCCCGGGTTTTGCCCCGACAGGTACGTTAAGATCAGCTTCCTCCCAAACACCACCTGGAATAGGTAATGCCTCCATTTAAAGGGGCAGTTGCTGAGGTTCAGGGACTTGCTCAAGTTCACACAGCTGTCAAAAAGAGAATCAGGTCTGTTTAACCCAGAAGCCTACGTTCTTAAGAATATGGCACAGCTCCTGTGCGACAGCAGAACACGTTGTTTGTAAGGGGGTCTGGACCGGGGTTCAAATCCAGGTCCACCAGTCCCCGGGGCCGGCGGTTCAAGTCCCGAACTGCATGCTACAACCTAGTGCAAGTCTGCTCCCCTCGAGGGTTTTTCGGCCCCGTCCCATCTCTTCCAGTACCCCGAGCTCTCAAAGAGTTCGTGAGGCCTTTCTTTGCATCCCCCCAGAGGCAGGTAGGCAGTCATGAGCCGACCATCGGTGGTCCTCAGCGGTCCCCTGGCGCCCACCTGGGGCGGTCGTTAGTCCAACTGGGACGCATCGGGGATCCGTCACCGGCTGCTGCCGGCCCGCTAGGTACCGCTTACCTGCCGCGGGGCCGTCAGAGTCCCGTCCACGTCGAAAAGGCACAGCCCTGAGCCGGAGGCCGCCATGTCCTCAGTTAACGAACGCGTTGGCACCCGGAACTCAGCCGGAACTTCCGGGTTTTGCACCTGCGCCGCAGGGCACGCCGGGAGGAGGACAGTAGGTTCCCACAATGCCTGGGACTAGCGTCAGCTACCGGCTCTAAACCACAACTCCCAGAATGCAAACCGCTCCTACACATGCTCGTAGTACGAGCATGCGTTCTTGGACGTTCCGGAGGCAGGTGGGATCCACTTCCGGCAGCGGGCTGTGGGGCATGGTAAGAAGGCGAGGGGTGAGAATTGAGGGAGGTGACATGCCTTGGGGGTCGGTGACAGGGCTTGGGGCAGGCTTGGAGGGCCGCCTGGGTGTCTGAGTCTAAGAACCCACGGGAAGAAGCTTTGGCGTGGGTTACACTTTACTACTCCGTGTCCTGAAGTCACGTGGACCAGTGAATCGTATAGCTGAAACTCACTGAGCGTTCGCCGTGCAACGAACACTGTTGAGGGCTTTAAAGCCACATTCTCATTCAGAATGCTCCGATTCCCCATTTTGAAAGATGAAACTGAGGCTCAGAGAGGCTGAGTAACTTGCTCAAGGATACACAGCTAGTGATGACCACTGGGGCCGGGATTGGAACCCACATCTGGCTGCAAAGCCCAGAGCTCTGGACGCTGAATAAGGTGGTAGAACTGTGCACCAATAAAAGCTTTGTGCCAAGTGCGGGACCTCCCTCTTCCTCTGCCGTTTCCCCTCCCCCGCACTGGGCAGAGAGAAAACAGCGTTCCCTCCAGCACCCAGGCCGACTCAAACCTGACGGGAGAGGAAAGTTCCAGCTGGTGGATCGACTGCTCTAGTCCCCAGTAGGACACTGACTCGTAGTTTCCTTCTGGGGGAAATGTTCGCAGTCTTGTGGATCCAGTGCCCAGCCCAGAATTGGCCCTTACTGGGTATTTGTTCTAACCAAAAGTTTGGGGATTTGAACCCACCAGCTGCCCTGTGGGAGAAGGATAAGGCTTCTATGAAGATGTACAGCCTTGGAAACCCTATGGGGCAGTTTTACTCTGTTCTAAAGGGTTGCCTTAAGGGTCAGAATTGACTTGATGGCAGTGCTTTGATTCGGTTTTGGGTATTTGTTGAATGAATGAAATCTGGACCTTTATTTTTTATACCTACTTGGCCCAGTTAAAGGGTCAGACTGCACCCCACTCATACTCACTGTGTGTCCTTAGGTAAATTTCCCACCCTCTCTGGGCTTAATATCCTCAGTGGTAAAGTGGAAATAATGGTACCTTCCTCATATTGTCACGAAGGCCTGGCTTCACCTTTCTCCCATCTCTGGTGGTACTGGCGACCTCCCAGAACTGTTGGGAGCCTCTGTGGGACCTGCTTTGTAAATGAGTGATGACTGTGGTTGAGTGCCATGAGAGAAATAATGTCTTGTCTCCCTTCCAGGCTGCCCTTCTCCGAGCTGTGCCTCGGTGGCAGGGCCCGGCCACCTGGGGGAGGCCACTCCATGGGCTGTGGTGCTGCAATGAGCTGCGTCCCAGGAGGTGTGTGGGAAGCAGGCCGCCCACCTCGAAGGAGCCTCCAGCAGGCACAGAGACTGAGAAGTTCCATATGGTGTACCGGTTTGACGCCATCAGGGCCTTTGGGTACCTGTCTCGGCTGAAGGTGGCGCAGACGGCTATGACGGTGGTGGCCCTGCCGCCGGGCTTCTACTGGTACTCCCAGGGTCTCATGAGCCTGGACTCCCTGTGCCTCGTGGGCGGGATAGCTGGCTTCGCCCTGGCCATGCTGTGCTGGATGAGCCATTTCTTCCGGAAGCTGGTGGGCATCCTATACGTGAATGAGGCGGGCACCCTGCTGCGGGTGGCCCACCTTACCTTCTGGGGCTGGCGGCAGGATACCTACTGCCCTGTGGCCGATGTGATCCCCTTCACGGAAACCAGGGACCGGCCCCAGGAGGTGTTCATCCGTATCCAGCAGTACAGCGGGAAACAGACCTTCTATCTCACTCTGCGCTACGGACGAATCCTGGACAGAGAACGTTTCACGCAGCTGTTTGGGACACTGGACACGCCCAAGTGATCTCCTGGGAGCTGGCCTCCAGGTTGCCCTGGGCCGCTTGCATCTCTGACAGGAAGGCTGAGTGTCAGGTGTGGCTGAGAAGAGGAACAGGCAGCGGAGGCTTTGGCGGGGCTCCTGGGAACTCCGTGGCGACCTCACGTGTGGCCTAGGACTGTGCTCCACAGGGTTTTCAAGGCTGTGACCTTTAGGCACCACGTCACCAGGTCACCAGGCCTTATGATCACCAGTGCATCAACATGGAATCCACAGCAGCTGACCGCAGCAGTCACCTGGGACTGCTCAAGGGATGGAGAAATTCACGAGGCAAAAGCTAGTAGCCAGGTTTAGTTAAAAGGCCCTGTGTGCAGATTCTCACTCCACTTGGGTGTGACATTCAGTCAAATAATGGTCAGAAGTTCCTTGTAAGAGCCAGTTCTTGGAGGATGCAGTCTCCCATTCATGCAAGCAGTACACTGCTGTGGCCCAGGAGCACAGGGTCTGATGGCTTGGGTCCTGTGAGCTATTGAACCTGTCTGAATGCCAGTGTTCACAGAGTTGTGCCTGTCTCGTGAGATGGGCGGGAGAAGACACAGTGTCAGGGCTTTGCAGACTCAACAGCTCTAAGCACATGTTAAGCATTAGGTCAGAGGTTAGGGTTCTGGGAAAGGTTTCCAGGTGACAGGGGGTTTCCTGAGCCCTGTCTTGTGCCCACTTGTCTGCCCGGCAGTGGAAGGGACTGGCCTGAAGTGTGGGAGAGGACCCTGTCATCCCACTAGGCTGGTAACAGCACACTCACTGGGTGGGGGGACATCCAGCAGACACAGCAGTCTTGTAGGATATTTTGTTCATCACCCAGAGGTCGGGGGCTCCCACATTCTAAAGGTTCTGGAGCATAATAAAGTCTGATGAACGATATGCTAATATACTGGTACGTTACTTTATAAACCAAAGCCAGTCATAAAGCAGTAGCTAGTTGCCGACTCTCATCGTGGCGACCTCAAGCCTCAGAGCAGAGCTGTGCTTTGCAGGGTCTGCAGTAGCTGATTTTCGGAAGTCGATGGCCAGGCCTTTCTTCCTGGGCATCCATGAGTGGCGCTGAGCCTCTGGCCCTTCAGGTAGCTGCCGAGTGCGTTCACCGTGTGCATCCGCCAAAGCTTCCGTTAGACAAACAGAACCGCAGGTGTTGACAGTGTAGTGCGAGGAGGGCGGGGAGATTTGGGGGGGACTAGCAGGAGGTGTGTGATGGGGAGGGGATATCTAGGCAGAGACTTGAGTGTGGTAGGAGGCAGATGAGTGCGAATCAGGCCCAAGGACAAGGGGGCGTGAGGTTCTAGGCTGGGGACGAGTGGGGAGCATTCACTAAGGAGAAGAGGCCTCTGGTGCAAGTGTAGGATGAGGGGGAGGGGGGCCAGGAAGGAGGCTGCCTTAACCTGGGCTGGGACTCTGCGGGGGGGGTCAGGAACGGGTGAGCAGGGAGGGAGTTGGAGGTTTTTTAAGAACGAAGACTATTACATTTCTTTTCCTTTTTTCTTTCCCTACCAGAAATTTATTCTTGTCTTAAACTCTTTGAAATGTGTTTTTTTCCTTTGCCTTTTTATTTACTTCAGTTAAAGATGTGCATGAGAAAAATAAGCTTCGTTGGTTTGTCTCAGTTGTTAAATTCCCATCAGATGTTAATTCCTGTCAACGGAAGAAAGCTGTGCTGGGGGTGGGGGTGTCTGAGACACCGGTACCTGACATCTGTCACATTTGCCTGCACTCCCGCAGGGAGAGTTTTCCAAGATGGAGGGGCTGTGTACTTAGTGGCCTTTATACGTTCCTTGCAGTTGTTAAGTGCTCAGCTGCTAACTAAAAGGTCAGAGGTTTGAACCAACCAGCAGCTCCACAGGAGAAAGATGAGTGACAGTCCGCTTCTGTGAACATTGACAGCCTTGGAAACCCTGTGGGCAGTTCCACTCTGTCCTCTAGGGGCGCTGTGGGTCAGAATGGACTCCAGGCAGTGGGTGTGGTTTGGG